CCCCAAAACCCCAAAACCCCAAAACCCCAAGAGTAAAATTTAAGCTCATTAATAGAAATATTTGATGATAACTAATTTAAGTAGTCGAATTAACTATATAGATCATTATTTATAATTTAGATTAATTAATAGCTAGCCGTATCAGAATGTCTAAATAAATGAAAACTTGCTTCTATGAAGTGTTAGGTGTAGACAGCACTGCAACTTAGAAAGACATAGAGAGAGTATACTTAAGATCATTTGCTCTAACACAATATTTCATAGGGATATAAGAAATCAGCATTGAAATGGCATCCAGACAAGAATAAGGATGAAGACACCACAGCTAAGTTTTAGGCAGTCAGTGAAGCTTATACTGTTTTGTCAGATCCCAATGAGCGTGCTTGGTACGATTCGCATAAAGATCAAATCCTGAGAGGCAAAGATGTTGAGGAGACTAAAGAAGAAGATTTTTCTTATATCACTAAGTCAAAACTCTGGCCCTTCTTCAACTAATCCTGCTATAGTGGCTATGATAAGAAGAAGGAAAATAATTTCTATAAGGTATATGCAGATTTGTTTAGACAACTTGATAAAGAAGAAGAACAGGAGGAAGAAGTAGGATCTGATCATTATGATGCAGCATGGTTTGGAGATCAAGACTCTACTGCGGAAGAAGTGTTTAGGTTTTACAATGACTGGGAGAATTTCTCAACTCTTAAACAATTTGAATATGCAGATAAGTACAACCCAAATCAAGCTCCTAATAGATAAGTAAAGAGACTTATTGAAACTGAAAACAAGAAGGAAAGATCAAAGGAGAAAAAGGAGTTCAATGATTTAGTCATTTAGCTTGTCGAATATGTTAAGAAGCGTGATCAAAGATATTAAAAATTCAAGATGTAGGAGCAAAGAGAAAAAGAAATGAAGAGGCAGTAATAGGAAGATGAGAAAAATCGCAAAAGATTAGAGGAGTAGGAGAGACTTAGGTAATATAGAGAAGAAATTGCCAAGCGATATGCTGAAGAAGAGGAAGAAGCATTAGCTAATGGAGACTTTGAAGAAGTGATAGTTAATGAGTTCAATTGCAATGTGTGCAAGAAGACTTTCAAGAATGAAAAGCAACTATAAAATCATCTGCAGTCTAAGAAGCACAAGGATAATTACAATAAATTCAAGGATGAGGTTAAAATGGATGATGAAACAGAAAAAATTATCCAGGAGGAATAGGAAAGATTAAAGAAATAATTAGAGGATGAGTAGAAAAAGAAAAAGGAAGAAGAGCTTAATGAATATGAAAACAGTAAAAAGAAAAAAACCAGGAAAAATAAAGGAAAGGATAGTGATGAGGAAGAGAAAAAAGAAGGAGATGAGGAGGAAGAGGAAAAGTTAGAATAACTAACTGAGGAATAAAAATAATTGTTGCTTTTAAAAGAGTAGTCATAAGAGGAAGAGGGGTATGTGAGTAAAAATAAGTTAAAGAAAATGGGGAAAGAATAGAAGGGTAGCAAGAAAAATGTGCCGTAATCAAGCAAACAAACATTTAAGGATCAATTTTTAAAGTTGGACAAAAAGGAGTAGAATATACTAATTGATAAGCTTGAAAGCTTGCAAGACAAGGGTGGCAAATAACTAGCTAAGCCCCAATAAAAAAAGAAGAAGCAGGACAGTGATGATGAAGAGTAAGAATATATAAAGAAACAACTGTTAAAAAAAGCATAAAAGGGGAAAAAGAAGGGCAAGAATGAAGAATATGATGATGATGACTTCATTAAACCTTAGTAAAAAGAATAGATCAAATAGCAAACTAAATCTAAAAATGATGAGACCAAGTAATCTAAGAAATAGAAAGAAAATTATGATGATAGCACAAAGCTAAAAGAAGAAAGTGCAAAAATACCTAATATTGATCAAGAAGAAATAAAGACTTAGGAATAAATTCCTCAAGAAGAAGAGAAAACCTAGATTGTTAAAGAAGAATAATTAATATAGAATGAAACACAAAACGAAGATCTAAATAATGACGAGAATGACGATGAGGATGAGGACCAATAAGAAACTTCTAAGAAAAGTAAGAGAGAAAAAAGAAAAGAGAAGAAGTCTAAAAAGGTTGTTGAAGAAAAGGAGTAAGATATAAGTCTAAAGTGCAATATTTGCAAGGAAACCTTTGACACTAGAAACAAGCTATTCACACATATTAAAAAGACTGGACATGCAAGAGCTGTGTGACCTATCATAATTGTTAATTTGGATTGAGTTTCCTCATATTAGTAAAATTTTGGCAAATGGGGTTTTGGGGTTTTGGGGTTTTGGGGTTTTGGGG